TGCCACATTTTCATGTCGTTCTCTGTTTGGTTTTTATGTTTTGCACAACAAATTTTATGTTGGCTTGGACGTCTTGATCCGAAGCACTGCTCCCCCCTCACCGAACACCGCCCATCAGCCAGCCCCTTAACCCTCGAGTGCCGCTACGTGTGCCCTAGAAAAAATGCACAGAAAATTCTTCATTTGCTAGGGGGTTCCAATTGAATTTCGAGCTTCGAGTCCTTTACTCGTATTTTTTTTTACGCACACTGAAGGAAAAGTTGAGGACTTTCTAAGGGCAATATTTTTGTATCTTCATAAAAATATAATTTTGGTTTTTTAACAGTGTAATGTGTTGATTAAGTTTATAATTAGTTAGAAATTAAAAAGAGTTTATGGTGTTTTCCCGTTGAATCTCAAAAATTTGATTGTCTAAAAGCAATATTTTCATATTATTTCTTCTCAGTGCCTCTTGGTGTGTGTATTTCAAGAGTGCATGTGTGTGCGAGTCCGGGCATTCAATCATTGCGAGACTCAACATGACGAAAGGATGGAGGACAAATGGAGGACGGGGCAGGGCAAGAGAGTGGCAGCTATCTGACTGATTTTCCTCGTAGCAGTGGCAGCCCCTTCTTTTTTTTTTTTTTCCAATTTATTTGCTTGCTCCACAAAATCACCAACTAAGCAATAACAACAAGAAGCGAACCCCTTTTAGACGTGACTCCTCTACGTTTCACTTTGCAATGAAATTGTTTTTTCATTTCCATCTCGCCTTCTCTTGGTTTATATCTTCACTACTCGTCCCCCAAACCCCCGCCCGAACACTAATGGGTTAACTCGAGTTGGTTACAAGCTAACCCAAGGGCCCCTCAAGTGGGTTAAGCCTAAGCATTTGTCCGCCCTGAACCCGCCATTCGCCCCTCGTTTTAACCCGTAGCTTGTGCCAGGCTCAAGTTCAGCAAATTGTGAGGATTTTTGTGAGTTATTGTTTGGATCCATTTGTGCGGATGCGAGGATTTGGTCAGCGGGGGCCGGTAATAGAATTAGGCAACTCCGGCCAGCTTGGGGATAATCAATTTGATAGTTTTGCCGCCCACCTTTGAACCCCTTGATACGGTATTTGGTATTTGGTATTCGGTATTCCCCAGAAATGGAATTGAACCGGCTTTAGATATTAGGTGTGTGGATGCCAAGGCTTTCTAAAATGGTATTTCGAGAACAATAAGTACATTTTCGGTGAGTGTTTTAGCCTTTTTGTGGGCAAAATTTGGTTTGGTTTGGTTTGTTAGTGAGTTGGTTTTTGTTTTGAAAATGTAGCCTACTTTTATGGGCAAAATAACATTTTCTCTGGGAAGTAGTTTGGTATCAAAAAAAAAAAAAAAACATATGGAAGTATGAAATTGAAGATATGCTTGAAAATGTGTTATATATGATATATATTTACATGAAAGTAAGTTCCCTTTCTCGAGTGCTTACTGTACTTGATGTTATTATGTTATTCCCTGCCAGACTTTTCATTCTTATGTAGTTATCTGCTGGTCTCTGTGACATTTATGATCTTTTCGTGTCACTTAGCTTGATATATATTCTGTTTTCACAGAATCGCATTTGTTTTTTTTTTTTTTTTTCCCCTACTTACTCCTTTTTTATCTTTCTTTTTTTTTTTTTTGATTTTTTGTTCGCCGGATTTGCTGGTGTTTTTTTTTTTTTGTGTTAGAGCCCGAGGCTTTATGGCTTCCACGGAATTTTTGGTCCTTGCTTAACTTTTGTTTTCTGGTTCTTTATGACTCTTTGACCGCCCAAACCGCCCCGCTGATCAGTTTTGCCCCGGTCGGTCTGCTTGCCCGTTCAGACTTTTCGCCATCGCTCTGTACATTTCATTTGCAATTTACTTTTTGCCTTCTGGCCAAGTTTCCAACGTCGGTGGTTTTTCCCGTACAGTGTTCGTCATCAATCTCAGGCCCTCGCCTCCGATCTCTCCATGGCATCGCCTTTGGCCATGCTCCAGTTTTTGTGCCATTTCCCCAATTGCTTTCTGTGCGGTTTTTGACCAGCCATTGTTGTTGTTGTTGTTGTTGTTGTTGCATTCAGCAGAAAGAGATAGTAAGAGAGAGAGAGATAGAGAGGATGTTGGAAACTGGATGCTTTTACCAAATCCTAGGCGTGATTTGCCGTTTAATTGTGCAGCAAGTTGCCAAAAACGCAATGAGTGAGAAATGGATATTTGGATATGTGACCCCCTTTTCCGAACCACCATCTCCAGTCCATCTCGTTTTCCATCCCTTTCATCCTGCCATAATGGCTGCTTTCTGTTTTTTTTTTTTTTGGTTTTCCCAACTCCACCACTTCTTTCCCTTTAACTCGCTCTTGTGAATTCATGTCCTGACTGCTGCTTCCTGCCAGTCAGTTTAGACACGAGAATCGTTTTTGGCGGCATGCGTGATGGGATGTCCCTTTCGGTAGCCAGCCCCCTCCCTGCACTTCCTTACTAATGACTCTTTTATCAGCACTTGCAGAAATATCAAAGTAGGTATGATTAGAGGTTTACGATTAATGGAATAAGATGATAACTTTTAGTAGAAAACAAACAGAAAGGCTGTTAGGTAAGGCAAATAACTGCCGAAAATAGATTAATTGCTTAAATATGATAATTTAAGCCAGACTAGATTAGGTTGCTTCCCCTTTCTGCCAGTGGATACTCATCAATAGGAGGGGTAACAAACCTACAAATGGCAAAGGCACAACGACTTGAGCAGGATGGACACTGGTTTGCACTTTGACCAACAAAAAGAGTGAGGTGAGAGAGGGGTGAGGGGAGGAGGGACGCAAATGGAGCGGTAGAAAGGATATAGGATAGAAAAGAAGAGGATATAGGATCTATTGGTCGCTCCATTTGATTCACCTTTTGGCTTCGTTCGGGACGTGCGCAAATCAGTTGCAGGAAAATCTATCAAAATTCCGCAAATAACTGCACGTGTCCTGCGTGTGTCCTGTCGCATGTCCTGGAAAGTTACTTCGTTTCAATCAGGCATATTGGTTGTACATATCTCGTCTTGTCTCATCCCTCTCCTCGCCTCATCCCCATCTTGCCATCTTAAAAGCATCTATCTTCGCCGTGGCACATACCTCCTCATCCCTTATCCCTTCATCATTTCTTCTACTTTTCTTCATTCCCTCAATCTTTAGTTGCCAGGACTTCAGGAGCAGGACACTTCGATGGCTTCTCCAGGGCGCTGCTTGCATTTGATTAAGTGCTGGACGTCGTGTTTAGTGAGTAAGAGAAGCTGGAGAACCATCAGCATCACCAGGAGCAGAACATGTGAACTTTCTCATTTGAGCTAATGATCCGTGTAATCTGCTTGAGTTTTCCCGTTCTGCCCCGACTCTTCGTGAGCTATGTGTACACAGGGAGAAACTGTTAGCAGTTCATATATTTATCAGCCTTACCAAATGTATTACTTTTCTACTTCAGTTTCCAATACCAAAAACATTGATCATTATCATGATAGGCTAATTAATTAGGCCTTTGAGTTTGCTTAACCCTTTTCTCTTCGTGTATGTAAAATTGAATGCTGCCGATGCCTGCTGGGAAAAGCTTCGCATAATTGGCATAAGTTTGCACTTAAGTCAGACTCAAAGGCAACAACGCACATATACACATACTAAAGCACACCTGGAATGTGTGTATGTGTGTGTGTGTGTGTGTGCATACATAAGTATTTCCCCACCTGACCTCCTCATCGATGTTGCGTTCTTCTCACGGTAGATTTAACACACGACGGAGCGTTCAATAAATGTCAGCAATTAAAAAGGCGAAATAAATGTTGTACCGCCGCCGCCTCCAAGAGTTTGTGTGTCTGCCTGTATGTGGGCGGGAAGAGGCGTGTGTTTAAGCTGGAAAATGGCGTGGCAAACAGGTGTAATATTTAAATGTCAGGCATGCCAAGAATTGGGTGGATCCCAATTGGGAATAAACAAAAGGAAAAGCAAACGTAAATCTGAGCCTGCAATCTGCGGTGTCGGGATATAATCTAGATTTCTAAGAAAATCGGAAAACATATCAGAATAATATTTAATTCAAGGCACTTTGATGATTTAATGAATTCCAGGAACAATTTCTTTGAACGGGTTTAAGAAGAAATGTTAGACAAGGCATCAAAATAGTTTCTGAAAAAAAGAAATACAGAAAAAATAATATTAATTAAGGCCATAAAACTTGACTATTTTTATCTTTATCAAAAGTAGAAGATATAAATAGATTAATATGCTAGCCGAGATTGATTCCTTTTTCGTTTTGAAGGACGAGCAGCATTGTTTTGGTCTGTGGTCCTTCCGCCTTTCACACGATAGATGATTGATGAAGGCGTACCAATTCGTTGGCCCTGCGCAAATTGGCTGGATAATCGTGTTGAAGCTTGGTTTCTGGGAAATGCAGATTGGCATTTGGAAAAATGCTGCGAAAAGCTGAAAATACTGTCGCATTAGGCTTGAGGTGAACCAAAAGTATTTCCATTCCGATTGCATGTCCTTGTATGCTCCAGATATCAATTTCAATTGTGCGGCCAAAGAGAATAGATATGCAGATGCAATTACCAATTACCTCGCTTGATTTGCCTCTGATGCGTGTGGTTATTTCAACGGTCAGACACTGAGGGAAAATGGGTTAAAGGGCAGATGGACAATGGTGTTTACGTTTTACAAAAGAAATTTGCATTTGTTTGTTAAAGGGAAAAGTTCTTTTCAGCAATCGTGTTTGCTTTATAGGTTTGTTTAAGTTCTTTAAAGAAGGATTTTCCATAATGGCATAAACTTTCTAGCATTATAATATGAACAATTAGAGCTGCCTTGGAGATCCTTACCTTTTCAGCATTTCCAAATGCTGGAAGTGTTTTGTTTTTCTCTGTGCCCAAGTACGGATATATATATACACAAATTTGTATTTTACTTATCGCAGAACCGTATCAGGTCTAGCAACAAGATTGAATGACAGGTTATATATATATATATATATACCACATACATGTGCGGCGACAACAATTGAACATGTTTCATTAAATGTGAAGTTTGGTGTGGGTGGAGATGAGGGCGTAGGTGGAACGTGCTGCGATGTCTTCACCTAATTAGCATTGAAGGCGGGTCGGCAAAAATGCAAGCAATAAGCAAAAAGCAGAAAGAGGCCTGAAACTGAGTATCCTTAATTGAAGTGCCACAGGATTAGGATCCGTCCAATTCGAGAAAAACCAACCAAAACCCAAAAAAGGGATGATGGCACGTGCTAACCAGAAGCCGACAAGTTTTTGTGCTTCGGTGGGCGCAATCTTTAATTTAAATGCCAGCCATCTTCACGTTTATCAGATTATTTGCGACAAACACTGTAGATATATGTACGTGTACTCCGAACGTATAGGGGGCTGTAAATGTGTGGACTGTGATTAGCAGGATAATGAGGATGTTTCGCCCACTGACCCGGGAATCTGATCTTCCGGCTGGTCTGACACACTTACAGTTTTGTTTTTATGGAATTTTTGGCACTTTTTGGTACCATAAATTGTTTGAAATTGTGATTATGTTAAGAATGTAGGGTTTACTGTTTGAATTTTTATGAAAAATATTGAGTAAATTAGCTAAGAAAGTAATTTCTGGAACGTTTACTAATAATCATAGAACTCCTGTAATTTAGTATTTATGTTTAGCAATAAACAAATTCCCATTAAGACGAGAAGAGTTTTTCCCTCTGATTTGTTGTAAAATATTTAACATTCGCTTATCGGTAATGAAGTGTTTATGAGAGGTATATATGAGTTCGGTTTGCCAGGATATTGCGTTTCCCTGTGCTAACCTGAAGCTGTTGACTCAATTACACGGCGTTTGCCATGCAATTTGCGCCCTCCCCCCCCTACCCAAAACACTCACATCGCAATTTTCATTTTCATTTTGGCCAGGTTTTCATGAAAATATTTTGCATTTGCAGCATCCGGCGCGACAGGCTGTCTCACTTCCACATTCACATTCACCCAAGTGAAGACTAAATAAGGAGAAAGAAAAAGTACGAAAAAAATAAAGGCTCGTAAAAGGGCGCGCTACAACAACAATAACAACATTTTATGACGGTTACATAATAACATTGGAAACAACGCCCATAACACCCAGACAACCGAAGGCGTGCAGAAGGGGATGCAAATTACGTGGCACATGAAGCGTCAAAGCGTTTGATTTGATTGTCAGCGGCAGAAAAGAAGTGTTCGTTTACCGTTGGAGTTTACACCTCCAACGACTGACTCTCTCTCTCGCTCTGTGTGTGTTTGCGTGTGTGTTTGTGCTTGCAACACATTGCGTCTGGGGCTGATTGATTGATTGACAGATTGGCCAGAGGTCGGAGGTCAGCAGCAGCAGCAGCAGCAGCAGCATCATCATAATGAACAAGAAGTCGCCACTGCCGCTGGCGGCTTTTCTCGGCAGTGACGGCAGCGGCGGCAGCGGAAACTGTGCCGCCAGCGGCAGCAGTAATGTTGCAGCAACGGCAGCTTCGGCAGCAAATGGTTCCGGCGGACGTAGCGGTCGACAGACGTCGGCTGGTGGATCGTCCTCCGGTAGTGGAGCCTCCAAGTCAGAAAAGCAAGCGGGACGAGAAGCGGGCGGCGGAGGTGGCAGTCTATGCGGTTGCCAAAAGGCTCCCAAATCGCACTGCATATCAGCAACAGGTAAGGAAGATTTTTAATCAGTGCTTAGAGGCAACATGCGTATGAGTAATATCATATTTAATTACCCATACGACGCGTTGCATAATATATAAATAAATTTATTTTTAGTTTGCTATTAAAAAAAATTATTATTACTATAATCACAATCGATAGAATGTGTAATTTATTAAACTATTTAATCATTGCCATTAAAATTATTCATAAATAAAGCATATATGTCATTAGCTATAAATGTGTACTAAATCATCACCCTTTTTAGAATAGATTTATTAGAAATATTTGTATACTGCATACAAATTGGTTGGCTAATGCCAAATAGCATTAGTATTCCTCATACGCAGTGTTGCCTAGCTGAATGGGCATGGATTTTGAACAAAAGTGAATCATCACAGAAAAGTAACATTTTAGCTTAATTAATAGGCAAAATAAAGTACACATAAAACCATTCGATTGCATAATAATAAATTGTTTATCCATTTAATTAACCCCTTTTGCATTTTCCATAGGCGTGCTTCTGTTGGTATTGCTCTACACAGCCATGGGATCCATAGTCTTTGTGACCCTCGAGGGTGAACTGGAAGATGGTGGAACCCTGGAAACCGCTGTGGCTGCCTCGAAGCCCTATCCCCGCACTGAACTAGCTAATGCCGAAATACGATCAAGGTAAGTACAACTAGTAAGAATGCTTTATTTTTGGAAAATATTAATTGTATTTGTTAACTTGGCCAAACAGAACGGTTGATCGCTTGTGGTCGATAACGGAGGACCTGAATATATTGTACAAGGAGAACTGGACACGCCTTGCCGCCCAGGAGGTGCAGCTTTTCCAGGTGAGCACCTCGAAATCCAGAAGATCTGAACGATTTGGTACGCTAATTGAGCATTTCCTTGACGCCTTTTCCAGGACACTTTGCTGCGGGCGGTGCGTCAGTCGAAGGTTTATCCCCCCGGCGGCATCCAGCTGAATGCACCCACACACAAATGGACCTATGCCTCTGCCTTTCTCTACTCCCTGACATTAATTACGACGATAGGTGAGTGAGAAGTGTCCAACCCGTCTCCGCCCCCACTCCACCAACCGAGCCCATCGCTCATACGCCCCCTTGTGCCAGCTTGCCACCTCACCCCTCCCTTACGATTCCTTTGTTCGGCGGTCCTTCGATTCTCTGGGCAATTTATTAGCCCGGGCATCTGACGTTTGCCATCCGAGCCTGCCAAGTGCATGAACCCAGTCACGTGTGCGTGTGTGCGTGAGACGTTGAGTGACCGCCCCGGACCAGAGATGTCCGCTCCACTGGCCACCCAACCAACGTGCCACCCAATAGCAGCCACCCAACGAACGGCTGCTGCTGTTTTTAATTAACAAACTGTCAACCGACAGCATCGATTTCGTTCGCCCGGCCTGGCCACAAATTTTTTTCTTATTTTTTTTTTTTTTTTTGCTCTTTTCTTTCAATTTACCCATGCGTCTGACTGCCCCGTTTTCCTGTCTGATTTCAATTAGTTATAAGTAACCCGGGGGCTAAGCAGTCGAGTGTTCTCCTGCCCAGCCTGAAAATCACAAAAAACAGGATGTTAAGATGCACGCCCAACGTGTTTAACATGGCCAACACTCTCACACATACACAGCCACAGCCAGCCGCATGTAAATTGAATTGTTTGGTCAGAAAAGTTAAGGGGCCAAATATTAATTGGAAAAATAATTTAAAGCGGCAAGCCAAAGGCTGGCCAACACTTTCATTTCCGGCATCATAATTTGTTGACTTTCAAATGTTCAGCTAAAAAACGAGGATTATATATTTATGGCATAGCAATTTGCGGTTTCCGTTGATGATTTTCTTTTTTTTTTTTTCATAATTGGTCAAAATAATATTTGCTCATGGTCAATGCATAAAGCCTAGAAAAATGGATACTTCAATTAAAGTATTATGTAATTAATTTAAAATATTAATTGATCGCCTGAAAAATAACTTCATATTAGGCTTTTTTCAGTAGTAAACTTATCTTTATATAAATGCAATCTTGTTTAAAGGGAAAGCTTTAAAACGGGCAGGCTCATTTCTGTCAGAACTTAGAAATAATGGTCACGTACGACTTTTCCTTCTAACTTTCCCCTTGGAGGGTATCAACTGTCGGATTTGTCTTGGAATATTCAATTCACTGGTCAGCGAGCAGTTGAAAATTGTTTAAAAAATAAAACCAGACACGCGCTCTGTGACTGACCCATAAAGAAAGAAATGAGTGCGGGAATGGGCGGGGCAGGAAATTCGGCGTGTGGTTGGTTGACTGCCAGCACAATAAACGCGCCGTTAAATCAATCGAATTTGTAGCAATCACCAGCAGCAACACACACACACACACACACTCAGCCATCACCTCCCCCGCATTATGTGAATTGAGTTTGAAATCAAAACTCAATTTCGGACAGCCGCCAGAGGGGCAAGGAGCAGTGCCGTCGGGGAAAGCTATCAAAAATCTGTCTAAATATCGCCAGCCAGGCAGCAGCTAGCCAGCCAGCCAGCCAGCCAGGCAAACGCTACCAGTCACGACTGTATGGCGGGTGTCATTGAAATTATTTTGACATCATGTAGTTAAAGGGGGGGGAGGGGCAGCGGTAAATGTGGAGTAGACAAGCAGGGCAACCTGCGGTTGGCAGTTGGGTAAACCAAACAACAGCGACAGAAATACGACAGGAATACAGTAAAGGTACTGGGACAGGGGCTGGGACAGGATAGTGGGTTAAACCGACAGTTGGGTTTCCATCTATTCTGCAGGATCAGAGGGAAGAGGCGTGGGATAATTGCAAGCCCTTCGTTTCGTCAAAATTTATAGGGCAAGTTGCGTGGTTTTCGCTTGTGTGGGTGTCCTCCTGAAATGTATGTAATTATAGCATTTGATTGAAATGCTATTTTGGCCTTGGCAGTGATTCTAACTGCTAATAGGATTTCTTGGGGCTCATTAATTTACTTATAAATGTTATCAGACTTCAAATATATATTTACATTTCCACGTCAGGAAGAGTATTTTTAGAACATAAAAACCTTCTTTTATCCACTTATAAAACACATTGCTAAACCACTTTCTCTCCCCTAAAGAAATATTGAAATTTCTTTTGTTTTTTCTTGTATTTACCAAACTACAAAGTACTTAAGTCCAATTTGATGCGATTGCAATTACTTACAGAGGAGGTCGTTTATGTATGTATATACTTTGAATATCTGTCAGCTGTGCAAGCATGGCTCGACGAGTCCGCTCTTGAGACAACTTGGCCTGATGGCACATCAATCAATTATGAAACAATTTGTCCCCAAATTGCTAAGTGGAAAGTTTCAATTGTTTTCAGCTAATGTGTGTTCTATAAATAAGCATGAGTGAGGGCAGACTGAAAATCGGAAAATCTGAAAATCTGAAAATCTGAAAATCCCAGCCAGACCATCAAGTCACCGTTGGAGTTGGGCCAAAAAGTTTGCCTTTGGGGCTTGGGGGTTGCGACCTGAAATGGCTGACTGGGGAAGGCGTTTCGAGACGAAACGATCGTCATGAGATTAACTCGGCAAAGACAAGACCATTATGCAAAATTCCCATCGATTATCTGCTAAAGCCCTGCCAGGACACTTGGCTCATTATTCAATAATGAAGATATTTGGCCGGGCTTACACTCGAATGGCTGTCATGGCTGCTAGATGCTGGATATTTGGTTATTTGGTTATTTGGCTATGGCCTGTGAGCTATTTTTGATGTGCCCAATTGCCCACCTGTCTACTCCGGATGTCGTTCAATTAAAATTCCCCGAAAATTGTCATCAATTTGGTTAGTGTGTGTGTGTGTTTTAAGCTCGTAAAACTAATTTCATTGCCTACTTTTGTGGGCTAATGGCGTACTCAAAATCCCATCCGTTGATATATGGCACTTACGCCTCCAAATTTATGTCTCCACATTTGCATTTCCTGCGATTTACAAAACGACCTTTCTGGCCGACGCCTTATCTATTGACACAATCCAGTCGTTCATTGTCTATTACGAGGAATAATTAATATTACGCATACGCCCCGTTACGCGGTAATAAAATTAACACTTGTGCTCATAAATATAAAACATTGAACTAATAAATACCATCCTATATATACACACACTCCATTGAGGTGTGATTTATACGCTGGTTGTCCTTTTATGTATGCATTGTTGTTGTTGTTTTCTTTTTTTTTATCCTGCAAAATTTTCTGACAGCTGCGATTCAATTTGGCCAACTGCAGTGAACCACCGCAGAACCCACTTTTAGTCAACTAACTGCGGAAAAGTTGTTACTTTTTTTTTTGTTTTTGTTCTGGGGCGTGGCATGTCATTAGGGCGGCGCTTTATTGTTAATTGGATTTGTCGCCGGAGCAGAATGAGAACTTTTTGCTGCTCTTAATTGAGTCGGAAGCGCACGGATATGAACAGCGGTAGTTGGTCAAAGCAGGGTAGAGAGAGAGAGCTGTAGAGAGAGTACTATACATCCTGGAAAATTGCAATCACTGAGCTCTACTCTGCTTTTGCTGCTCCATCTCTTTCTCCGCCTTGTTCTGCAATCAATAAGTGAATGCAAACTGGCAGCAGGAACACACTCGATTGGCCCACATAAATCTCTGGCAAGGGAAAAAGAAAGGTGGATCGGTAGCAGAAACCATCCAACAAAATATCCGCACCACCCACTTTGACCTTCTTTGCGCTTTTGACCTTCAACGCTGCCAGACCATAAACTATTACCATCCATGTAATGGCTTCGTCTGCCACTTCCGGTTGCCATTTTGAATTACAAATGGCTGTGTGCAATGCAGAGAAAGAATCGTTCGACTGAAACGCCATTTATATTTCTTTCCTTTTTGTGTTTACCATTTACCCATCGTTACCTATTTGCATGACCAGCATTGTGTTCTATTTTGGTCGCAGTTAACTTTATTAAACACTCTAGGCCGCGGCCAGTCGGCTGCATTATATTCACACGATTGTCCGCCTACGAAAAATGGCAAATTGCCCCTTCCCTTCGCCTACCACAAACACTTTCGTTTCCTCGCCATGATAGATGACACGTCCTCTGTTGTATTATTATTATTACATAATTTGTATGCCCGGAATTGTGTTTTGCCGGCCGGGGTCGGCAACTATAATCATTTGCCACACGTGCCGCCAAAAAATCTATGGGTCCGATGGTATTCACAGTGTTGCCCGAATTGGGGGGGAACTAATTTGGCAGGCAATTTCCTGATTTTTATAACAGAGCTTAATTAATTATGCAGGTTTATAGGGAAAGTGATTGGTGAGCAGAGTTTACCAAGAATGGAGTTATATATGTAGGAAAACTATCAAATTTGGAAGGTTTTGATTAAAAACTTCTTCTAAAAATATTTCAGAAGATATCTTAAAAATGAATTAATTTTTTAATAATTTATTTAATAATTTTTTAAGCAATGAACATTGGAAAGAAATAAAATGAATTCTTTGTGAACTAGTTCAGCCTAGAAGTAGGCAACACTGATTGGCTTGTGGTGGGAAGGGAGCAAAAAAAATATATTGCGCGGCAGTTTATTTTATTTTATTGCAATTCGCAGTCTCATTTTTATGGCCTAGACATAGTGAGTGTGTTAGGGTGTGGGCGTGGGCGTGGGCCTGGGCATGAGTGTAGGTGTGGTTGTGCCAGTGTCAAATATAAAACAAATAATGCCAAACGCCGCGACAACAGTAAGAACAACAATATCGAATAGGCAATCACAGACAAGTCAACATTCCGCTGACGAAGAAAACTGAAGAAAGCTGCGGGGAAATTGCCAAGAATGTAGGGAAAGAGTGAAGAGGGCCAAATAGCGAATAAATGAATGAGCGAATGAATGAATGAACGAATGAATGGGCCAATGAATAAGTGCCAAGCGTCTGTGTGTGAGCCATACACATACAAAGATCTGGCATAAAGCGCTGAGTGGCCTTTATGTGTGATGCTATGGTATATGTGAGGGGGGCCTACTGTCACATCAACCCCTTACTGGGCGCCACTTTTCAG